TATTTGACAAAGGTTGAGTGAGTGAAAAATGATGAAGAGCAGAAAAGAAACCCAGGGCAATAAAACTACTCTGTTTGATATTATAATGATGAATACATGTCTTTGTATTTGCCTAAACCCGCGAAGGCATAATACCAAAAGTGTACCCTAATATAAAATATGGGCTAAGGATAATTACAATGTGTGAATGTAGATTCACAAATTTTAACAAATATACTACTCTGGTGGGGAATGTTCATAATGGAGGAAGTTACATATCTGTGGAGATAGGAGGTATACAAGAACTCTCTAGCTTTGACATCACTACCTTTGAATAGAGGAAGCCATGAGCCAAGGAATTCAGACAGCCTCATGAAGTTCAGAAGCCAAGGAAATTATCCCCAGAATCTTTAGAAAGAAACACAGACTTGCCAGTATTGAGTTTAGTTCACTGAAACTCATTTCAGACTTCTGAGTTTCAGAAATTTAAGACCATAATTGTGTTGCTTTAAGCCACTAAGGGGAATGAGAATGGAACCAGAAATGGGGAAGTTTTTCTTTTGCTTCATTATTTCAGGCTTTTGTTAATAATGCATTACTTTTGTGTTGTTGCATACTTTTCACTACAATTTAGAGGTATAAGAAATTCAAACAGCAGAAGTGACAAGCATTAAAGATGATGGATATACTGGTAGGTTTTACATAACTTAGTTGGTTCAGTTCAAAAATTGAGGGAAAGGGGTAAAAATGACTCAAAATATATATTGTTTTTACTGGAAGGTGTTTGTTATGTATTTGCGTTTATATACATTTCCATCTGCTGAGTCTGTCTATGTAAACCAGTAACAACATGTATTAGTGTCTGCACATGCACATAAACAAGTGTAAGACTCCCATAGTTGATACTAAATTATTTGGTCTGAAGGTGAATTTTTAGAAGTTTGGAATGCAGAAGGTCATTAAATAGGCCACTTATAAATTCCTGCTTACCACAACATCTTGAGGGTACTAATATTACAAAAATCCCCACTTACTTTAACAATATGAAGTAGACTTGAGAACATGGGACTTAGAATCAGACTGCCAGAGTTCAGACCTGAGTTCCACCACTTACCAGCTTTGAGACTGACAGGAAATTATTTGCCCTTTCTATACATAGATGTTTTCATCTGAGAGGGAAAATAATAGTATCTGGTTGATAGAATTGTGATAAGGAAAGAAAAATCTATTAGCAGATGTAAAGTCACCAGACCAATATCTGACGTACAGTAAGTAGACAGTAAATGTTAGCTACTATTATTGTCATTTTTCTGGTCTTATTTGGCTGCAGGTAACGTGCTTTGTGAGTGAAATCACTGTAATACCCTATGATGAAAAGCAAAAATAATTCAGCATACCATGTTAATCCTAGACAATAGAATGTAATTCGATTGTATCACCAATAGTTTTTCTTTGTGACTTTCATTCTGCTTACATATTATTCAAATATTTCATCAGAACAACATTTTACCAGTAATCTCTGAAAACAGACATCATGTTCCCTGGACAAAGTTAAAAGGAACCTGATATAACATTATTGCAATTCAGATGATCTCAGTGGTCTTTATTCAGCTGGATAAAACTACAACTTTGACTAAATAAAAAACTTAAAATATTGGTAAAATACGGCTGTGATTGATTTCTTGATTCCCTCAAGACTTCCCTGTGTGGGTTTAAGGTTTTGACTTGGGTACCAGGGTTTTCCATATACAACATAGGTGACCTCAGGCAAATTTCTCAACTTTGCTGAGTCTTGGTTTCATCATATATCACTGTACTGAGGAGTCCTTTTTCCTGTTTATGAAAATGTTGATATCATTTAATGGCTCACACAGTTTGTGACAAAAGCAAGAGTCAGAATTATTACTTTTACCAACTTGGAAGTGCAAATATTCAATGGCTTTCCTAAGTCATCAATTAGGTCTTTTGTTGAGGTCTTTTGATTATTGCTGATCTTTTTTCTGTCAGAGTATATTACTTAAAAGAATTTTTAAAATGCTATTCTTTAAAAAAAAGAATATTTAAATCGGACAAGATCACAAAGTGATTCATAAGACATTAGTGTTCTAGATTTATAGGTTATTTCAAAGAGCATATTTTATATATTATTCATTAAACATCCATTCTTTTAATCACATTTATAAGTGCATTTTGACCTATCAAGAACCAAAGAAAATATATGAAAATATATCTAAACTTTCCACATAATAAGCACTGAAGGATTGAAAATTTTACCAACGAAATCCCTTAATCAAAGACTGTTTTAAATCAAGATATGAATTATTTTGTTAATATTTTAAACTGTACTTCAATTGAAAATGATGACTTAAAATATCATATTCTGTTCTCTTTTTTCTGTTTTTTTTTGAGAGTGAGTCTCGCTCTTGTCACCCAGGCTGAAGTGCAGTGGTGCGATGTATAACAATTGATTGCCTTTCTATAAATTAAAACTTTTCATTTATATTAGTTTGAAAGCATGAAATTCACTCCACCTTGAATGCATTGCAGCATCTAGTTTTCTTTTTCTCTGAAGATTGTGCCTCTGCTGTCTTATTCAAATGCTGATTTTGGTCCATAATTGAATTACAGACACCATGTAAATGTCTTTAATTTTTGTTGTTTCTTGGTTTGAAATGATCACCTATTCAGGAATAAATAGTATAAATTATTTTTCTTTAATAACAAACAATTTCAAAATAAGAAAAGCCACAAGGTCAGCAACAATCAATCAATCATTCACTAATATTCATTCAGTGCCTGCTATGTCCTGACTGTGGAACTAAGTCAATGCTGTACAGAAAAGAAATCAAGTCACAAAGTTCTAGCCTAAGGAGATTATAACTTAATTAGAGAAATAAATTTATGAAGAGAAATTTGAAATGATAAGTAAATAATATAGAATCACACACTAGATTATATGAACAAAAGTTTTAAATTATGGAAATTAAAATTTCTATATTTTCTACTTACAAATATTACAAGATTTACATGGATGAAAATATACGTTAGCCTAATTTTTATTGTTTTATAAATTGTCAAATAGTACCTGGCCCATAGTAGGTACTCAATATGGGTAATAAAATAATACAATGAATCATAATTAGAATGAACTAAGACAGATTCATACAGGAGATAATTCTGGAGCCAGGCTAGAAAAGCAGGTAGAGTTTGAATTTGCTAAAAAGAACACTGTGTACTCCATGTACCTTTCAAGGAGACTTTGGCCATGCCTGACCTTACCATTGTCATAATCTTACTTTATTTTTAATGTTCATATATTTTCAAGAGAAATCCATGCATGTAGCTAAAAATGCAAATAAAAAAGACAAGATTCTTCCTCTAACTCTTGTCTCATTATCCAAAAACACAATACACATTTTTAAATACACACATAATATTTTTTAACACAAATGGCAGCAGACCATTAAAACTATCTACCTTTTTATCCTATTGTGCATCTTTAATATCATGTTAATAAAAGTCCTCATTTTTCTCATGGTGGCAGAGTATTCTGTTGCCTATAATATGTCTAACTAGTTCTATGTTGATAAGCATTTAGACTGTACCTAATTATTTGATACTAGAAAATGTTCTTAATATGCTATATATTATTTTCTTTATGTGAGATTATATCTGTAGAATAAATTTCTACAAGTAGAGTTTTGGAGTCAAAGTATAAGATAAATTATTCTTTTGAGAGTAACTAAGCCCACATTTTATTCTTTATTTTTTAGATTCAATGGGTACATGGGCAGGATTTTTACATAAATGTATTGCATGACACTAAGATTTGGGCTTCAACTGAATATGTCACTCAGATAGTGAACATAGTAACTAATAGGTAGCTTTCCAGCACTTTCCCTTCTGCCTTTCTCCCTGCTTTGGAGTCCTCAGAGTGTCTATCGATCTTGTCTGTATGTACATCTGGACCCAATATTTAGCTCCTACTTATAAGTGATAACATGCGGTATTTGATTATCTGTTTCAGAATTGATTCACCTAGATATGGTCTCCAGCTCCATCCATGATGCCACAAAGGACGTGATTTCCTCTCATTTTTGTGGCTGTGTAGTTTTCCATGGTGTATATGCAACACATTTTCTTTAATCCACAAGTGATAAGTACCTAGGTTAATTCCATGTCTTTGCTTTTGTGAATAGTGTGGCAATCAACATGAGTACATGTGTCTTTTTGATATAATGATCTATTTTCCTTTAGGTATATACCGAGGAATTGATTGCTGGGTTGAATGCTAGCTCTGTTTTAAGTTCTTCAAGAAATCTCCAAACTGCTTTCTATAGTGGCTGAATTAATTTACATTTACACCAACAGTGTATAAGTGTTTCTTATTCTCCACAACCTCACCAGCATCTATTGTTTTTCAACTCTTTCATAAGAGCCATTCTGACTTGTGTGAGCTTATATCTTATTGTGGTTTCAATTTGCATTTATCTGATGATTATTGATGTGAGCATTTGTTTCTATGTGGGTTGGATATTTGTATGTCTTCTTTTTGAAAAGTGTCTATTCATGTTCTTTGCCCAATTGTTAATGGATTTTTTTCTTGTTGATTTAAGGTTCTTACACATTCTGGATATTAGTCCATTATCAGATGCATAGATTGCAAATATTTTCTCCATTCTAAAGGTCATCTGCCTATTCCATTGATAACTTCCTTTTCTGTGCATAAGCTATCTAGTTTAATTGGGTCCCACTTGTCAATTTTTGTGTTGCAATTTCTTTTGAGAACTGAGTCATAAATTCTTTGCCTAGCCCAATGTCCAGAATAGTATCTTTTACATAATCTTCTAAGATTTTTATAGTTTGAGATCCTTCATTTAAGTCTTTAATCCATCTAGAGTTAACTTTTGTATATGTTTGAAGATAGGGGTCCAGTTTTATCGTCCGTATATGGTTAGCCAGTTTTCCCAATACCATTTATTGTCCTTTCCCCGTTGTTTATTTTTGTCAGCTTTGTCAAAGATCAGTGATTGTAGATGTTTGGCTTTCTTTCTGGGTTCTCTATTTTGTTCCATTGATCTCTGTGTCTGTTATGTACCAGTGATATGTTGTTTTGGTTGCTACAGACTTACAGTATAGTTTGAAGTTGGGTAATGTGATGCCTCTGGCTTTATTCGTTTTGCTCAGAATTGCCTTGGCTATTTGGGCTGTTTTTTTTCATTGTTGTTCCACATGAAATTTAAAATAGATTTTTCCTAATACTGTAAAACACAATGTTGTTAATTTGATAGAAATTACATTGAATCTGTAGATTTCTTTGGCAGTATAGATATTTTTGCAATATTGATTCCTCTAATTCATGAACATGGAAATTTTTTTCATTTGTTTGTATAATCTATGATTTCTTTCAGCAAATTTTTTTTGGGGGAACAGGTTCTCACTCTGTCACCCAGGCTAGAGTACAGAAGCATGATCATGGCTCACTGCAGCCTCAAGCTTCCAGCCTCATGCCATCAGCCCACTTCAGCCTCCCTAGTATCTAGAATTATAGGTACATTTCACCACGTTCAGCTGATTTTTTTAAAAAATTGTAGACATAGGGTCTCCTGATGTTGCTCAGGCTCTTCTTGAACTCCTTGGCTCAAGCAGTCTTCCTTCCTGTCTTGGCTTCCCAAAGTACTGGGATTACAGGTGTAAGCCATCACAGCCAGCCCTCAAAAATGTTTATAGTTCTCCCTGTAGAGATCTTTCATTTCCTTGATTAGACATAATCCTAGGTAACTTACTCTTTCCTAGTTATTGGAAATAGAATTACTTTCTTGATTTGGTTCTAATCTTGAATATTATTGGTGTAAAGAAATGCTATGGATGTTTGCATTTATGTTGTATCCTGAAACTTTACTGCAGTGTTTTTTTTTTTTTTTTTTTTTTTTTTTTTTTTTTTTTTTTTTTTTTTTTTTTTTTTTGGTTCCATTCTATTTTTTACAATCCTGTCCTTGCATTCCAGAACAGATAGCTATTTAATATACAATACCAAACACTCCTAAAAGGACCTTGTTAACATTCAAAAATCTCCCATTTCTTTTTCAGTATATTAAATCAAAAGGAAAACAAAATCTTAAGAAAAAATCAATAGGTTTAGTTCAGCCCAGGAAAAGAACCTTTACAACAGGAAACTAAATTGTCAGGAATCTGACCAAAGACATAAAGCAGCAGATAAGATTCCTGACAGAAGAGAATGACTCCCTCTGGAACATAAATAGATCCCCCAAAGTATACATATTTCACATGAGTATGTGCATATATGTGTCATATATTTTTAAAAAATGGTTTCTATACCCAAAAAGTTATTCAGAAATAAATCAACACCCCATCTGAGACTGGGGAAGTTGGGGACCGCGGCCAGGTTACACAACGAGCCTGCACCTTGCTTTGCCCCGGGTGACCACTCGGTCCACTATGCATCCTAGCCTGGAGGGGGCTCGGCGAGAGCCTCTATCCTGCCCTCCCCACCCCCAGGCCTGGCAGATCCAGTGTTGGCAGAAAAATGAGCCAGGGAAGTCTAGGAAGGCAGATGCCTGTGTGGTCCCCAAACCCTCTGGTGCAGAGCTCAGGAGCCAGCTGGAGGCTTGGGACAAATGGCCAAGGCCACTGCCAGCTGCCTTGCAGGCACCCTGGGTCGTAGGGTAAAGGGAAATGCTTGGGACCCCAGGAATGGAACAGCAGCACTCCCGTTTTTTAACAGCAGGCCTGACTCTGGGGTCTGCCCAAGGCCCTCGAGACCTTTGTAGTGTGGCCATCTGGGCTTCTCCTCGGATCCAATGGTCTTTGGGAGAGGGCTCTTAGGCCTGCCAGACCGGAGCCTCGTGAGCCTGCTGTGTGAGTATGTGTGTGCCCAATGGAGCTCCACACATTGCAAACGAGTGCTGTCCTGGGACGTACTGGAGTAGTGTCTGCTTTGGGGGAAGTCAGCTTGTCATCGCATCCTAATTGGTCCCCATGCTGACGTAGATTTATTCCAAAGATACCAGCTGCTGGAAGCGGAAGATACAGAAGACTCATTACACACCTGGAAGCGTCATCCTCTTGGGGCTTGGCACAGTGTTTCCATTCGCAGAACAAACAGCAGAAAGGCACGGGAACCCCGCACCTCATTCCAAACCCTTTCCTGGCGCCGCAGGCAAGCAGGAGAAAAGGCCATGAGCGTCGGAGGGCGCGTCACTAGTTTTCAGGTTTGCGAGCTCAGCCGCTAGCGGTTCACACGCAGCTGTACTCGAACCACACCGTCTGCTGGTCCCCGCCCGGCTCCCGGGAGGCCGGGGTGCTCTTTGAGCTGCTCCCTCGACTGAAGTCCTCGAGGTCCCGGCCGGGGTGGGGAGCCGAGTCAGCAGGCAGACCTGGGCCCTTGGCCGGAGCCCCTCGCCGCAGCCCTGCCCTGGGACCCCATCTCCCTTTGAGAGGTTGAGCCCCGCCCGGAAGGGGGTGACGGTGGCCACCTCCCCTGGGTGCGGGCGCGCCTTGGGCTGCAGCAGGTGAGAAGTGAGGGAGCTGGGAGTTGCTGCCGCCACCGCCAGCACCAGCACCTGCAGCGGCAATGGCGGGGGCTGTGGCGGACTGATGCAGGGGGGCCAGCCTCTCCTCCTTTGGGGGAGCCAGGGAGAAGCGCCTCGTGTCCAGCGGCCGGCTGCGGGGACCCGGGCCCTGACAGGAGCCGCCAGCCTTTCCCACAAGTGGGGTCCGCTCCCAGGCCAGGCTGTGGGAGCTGGGGCGTGCGGGGTTTGGCAGGGTATAGCTGCCTGTCTCTCTGTCCCCCGAGGCCTCGGGAGCCCCCAGCTTGTGGGGGGACTCCTGTTTGCAGGCCTCGCGCCGCTGGCCGGGAGAAGGTCGGCTGAGGCCAGGCGGAAGGCTCGGCTCAGGGAGGCGCCGCAGGTACGTGGGAAGCTGCGGGCACCGGGGCCTGCCGGGGTCTGCCCAGAGTCAGGGGGGGCTGGGCCTGTCGGGGGGCCACGCTGGGTGGGGCCTCGGCCTCAGTCAGCCTGGAGTTTGGCTTCACACACTGCCCGGGCTTCAGCCGCTTCCTCTCTGAGGCGGGGCGGCCATCTTGACGGTGGGGGTCACAAAGCTGGTAGGCATTTTGGCCCCTTCTTTCCTGGCGGGTGGTCCTGGCTGGCCTCCCACGGCTGGGGGATCGCTGGCCTTCCGGAAGTAGTCACTCAGCAGGGCATCCCGGCAACTGGGGGTGTCTTGGGTGGGGGAGCTTGCTCTCCTCCAGGAACTCCTCCAAGGTTACCATCTCGCTGCTGGGGGAGGCCGAGCGTGTGGAGGGGCTGTGCCCCTCTTCTGGGCACCCTCCTGTGGGACAGGCCCGTTCCGGCGCAAGGGGTACTCGTAGCGGCGGAAGGCATTGCGCCCTGGGGCGCTGGCTTCCCGGGGCAGAGTGGCCAGGTTCCTGCTAGGGATCAGGTCTTCACTACTGAAGCTCTCAGACCGGCCGGGAGCAGCTCTGAGGAGCCTTTTAGAGCAGAGCTGTTGCTGGATGTGTTTCTACTGCTGTCTAAGCTACTTGACTGCGACACATACTGCCTGTGGTTGGGGACCTCAAACTCGAGATGGCTTGCAGAGGTTGTCATCTTTGGTGCGGCCTGGCTGCCGGGCGATGGGGGTGGAGCTGGAAGGGGTTGGAGTGGTGGCTGAGGCTGAGCAGGTCCAGGAGCCCGGCTCCAAAGGCCAGGACCTCATGGCCGGATCAGTGGAGGCGTCTGTGCGGTCAAGGCTGCCTCTGTGTGGGGAGCCTCACTTTGGTTTTAGATCCCCAAGGCCGTTCGTTCCCCGCAGACCCGTTGTGGGCATCACGCTTTTCGGCATAGTTGGAGCCCAGTGCGGGGGTGTGTCCGGGTTCTCGGGCTGTGCTCTGAGAGGCTGCCAGCAAGGCGGGGTCTGAGGACTCCAGCTGCCAGGGAGGACTGTCCGCAGTGAACTTCAAGCATTCCCTCGAACCCTCCTCTGGTTTGATGAGTTTGACTAAGGCTTTGGCTCGTGCAGCATGCCCAGGTGCTCGTGGTCCTGCAGCAGGGCCTCATGGGCCGCTGTCAGCTGCTCCTGCTGCCTCTGCAGGCTCTCGTTCTCCGTCTCCTTGGCCATGTGGTGGCTCTGCAGCAGTGAGTACTGAGGGTTGAGCACGGTGCTCTGGGAGCTCAGTGTGGAGTTCTCTACCTGCAGCTTGGCAGTCTGGGTCAGCCGCATGGTGTGCTACTGCAGGAAGGCTCTCTGTTGGCTGCTGAAGGCCACGTTCTGGGTCTCCAGGTGCTGCAGCTGTTCCTTGAGCAGCTGCTTCTCAGCTTGCAGAGCTGCTCCAGCTCGATGGCCCAGCCCTTCACTTGGAGCAGCTCCAGGGTGGCTTCCTTGTGGATGGGCCCCCAGGCCTCTTTCCCCTGGTGACTGGCGGCTGTCTTCCCTGCAGGGTGTTTGAAAGAGTTCTGCAAGTGCTGCCCCTCTCCCTGGTTCTGCCTGAGGATCTCACACTCCTTCAGCATCTGCGGCTCGCTCTCTAACTGGCAATTGAGGCTCGCTTTCTCTTCCATCTGTGCTTCCAGGAGCACAGTCTTTTCTTCTTTCATGGCTAGCGTTTTTAATGCTGATTCATTTCTGCCCTCCAAAATCTTGTATTTTGTGTCACTGCTGCTGTCATCCTCCTGCAGCAGCAGCTCCCTGTTGAGGCTGACTTTCTCCAGTTGCTGCCTCAGCTTGTCCAGCTCACTGCTCAGCTGCTGGCTCTTTAGCTTCTCCAGCACCAGGTCCACCCTCAGGGTCATCAGTGTCCTGGCATGCACAGTGACCTGCTTGGTGAGGTCCCGGTTGTCCTTCTCCAGCTCCTTCAGCTTGCCAGTCATATCCCTGCAGTGGGCCAGCTCCTTGTCCAGCATGTGGCTCTCCTTCTCAACAGCAGAGAGCTTAGCAGTGCTGTCGTCCAAGACCGTGTCCTTGAGCTCCACCTGCTACCACAGCCGCTTGGCCTCCTTCTGTTGGCTGCTTCTTGTCCTTCTCGAGCTGGGCCACCTCCTGCTCCAGGGCCTTCCTGTCCTTCTCGGCCCCCTCCAGCTGTGCACTGGCCAGCTGCAGGGCCTCCAGGTCCCACACGCAGCATCTGGAGCTCTGCCTCCAGCTCGCCCAGCTCACTCTCCAGGGCCTGCATCTTGCAGCTGCTGCTTTCCAGGCTCTGCTGCAGCCAGAGGTTCTTGGCACTCATGCTCTGGTAGCTGAGCTCCAGGCCTCTGACTTCTTGCCCAGGACCTTGAGCAGCTCCACATTCCTCCTCAGCTCCTCCTTCTCACACTCCAGCTGCTGGTTCTCCCTCTCCATCTGCGCCAGCTTGGTGCTAGTGAAGCGTAGAGTCTCCACCATCCTGCGCAGCTCCAGGTTCTCCGTGTCCAGCTGCTTGTTGTCGTGCTCCAGGCCCTCAATCTACAGGGACACATTCTGCAGGGTGTCCAAAGACTTCCTCAGTGTCTGGTTCTCCAGCTGCAGGCCCCAGCTCTCATGTTCCAGGGCCTCGACTTTCTCAGTGGCAATCTCCAGGGAGGTCAGCTTCCTGGCCAGCTGTTTGTTCTCCTCCTGCAGTGGCTGCAGCTCCCTCTCCAGCTTCTCTGCCCACTCCCCCTTCTCCCTGGCCTGCTCCAGGTCCCTGTGCAGCTGCCACTTCTCAAACTCCAACTGGCTGAGCTTGCCACTGGTCTCCATCACCATCTGATGGAGGGCTGTGTTCTCCTTCTCCATGTCCTTTATTTGTGCCTCGCTGCTGACCTGCGACCTCTCCCGTAGCATCCACACAGCTCAGTTGAGGTGGTCCTTTTCCTGCTCAGGGTCCTTGATCTGCCTGGCTTTGTCAGCCTTTATGGTCTCCATGTCACTCTGCAGCTGTTCCTTCTCTCTGATCAGCTCCTCACTGAGGGTCTCCAGATCTTGGTTCTGCTTTTTTCTCTCCAGCTGGGTTTGTAACTTTTCCATCTTCTTGCTGTGCTGTTGGTTCTCCTTCTCCAGCTTGCAGCACTTGAGGCCGCTCTCCTCCAGCACAAGGGACACGTCCTGCAGCCCCTGGATGGTGCTCTGGAGGCTTTGGTTCTCCTTCTCCAGCTTCAGGACGGGGCTGGAGGCACACTCGTTCAGCTGAAACACAAACGACTTCCTGAAGGTGTCTGACAAGTCTGCGTTCTTGGACAGCTGCTCCAGCTCCCAGCCAAGGCGGACAGATTCGTTCATGCTCTGCTTCTGTGCAATCCCAAGGGCTATGTTTTCTTCCAGCAGCTCTTCAATTCGTTTCTTATCTGTGTCCTGGTCCAATTCCAGGGAACGAAGCTTAGATTTCAGCTGCAGGTTCTCCTTCTCCAGCTCACAGACTTTATCGCCCCAGGCCCAAGCAGCAGTCAGCTGTTCCTTCAGCATGGCCTTAGTTTCAATTAAAATAATATTATCTTCTCTCAGCTCCTCCATGTGGGCCTTGTAGAAGTCCACATCATGCAGCTTTTCCTTACAGCGGGTCAGCTCCAGCTCCAGCCTCTCTATGCGGTTCACCTTCTCCCACAGGGAGTCCAGCTCATCTTGAAAGGCTTGAGCAGACCCAGCATCTGCCGCTAATTGGATGTTCTCCTGCTTAACTTTCTGCAGCTCCAGCACCAGCTGGTCCACCCCGTGCCTGGTGTCCATAAGCTGCTCTGTCTTCTCCTCCAGCTCCTGCTGGATGCACCGCAGCCTGGCCTTGGTGTTGGCCATCTCCACGGCCAGGTGTTGCTTGTCCTCACTGGAGAGGCTGCTGGTGAGGCTGGGAGTGGAGTCGGTGCTGGAGGACTTGACAGGGCTGGGTAGGTGCTGTGCCTGCAGATAGTCCCGCCCCTGAGTGAGGTCCATGATTAGCTTGGTGCACTTGTCCTGCTGATTGATGAGCCTCCTCAGGTGGACCACTATGCTCCTGGAGAGGTCCTCCAGCTCCTCCACGGCCATGTCGGGTAGCTCCAGCCACTATAGGTCAAACGCGTTCTCCTGATTGTGAGTCACCTCCTGAATATGGGCCACGATGCCAACCTGGGTCTCGATGTCCAGCTGTTTGATCCTTTCAATGAACTCCTCTTTCCTCTCACACTAGATGGCACAGCCCATCACCAGCAGCAGCATCTTCCTGATTTCCTCCATGCTCTTCCCAGATAGTGGGTCTCTGCCAATCATCAAAACATTGGGCAAATTCATTACAATCAGCTGCTGGAGAACTTCCTGGTAGTAGGTCTTGTTTCTCACCAAGATGGTCAAATTCTGAATGCAAAGTTTCACATCATTGTTGATATGCTTACTGATGCATTGATTTGTGGGCCTGGGATCTATCTGCAGCATGATTTGGTTTAAAAAGATGCCGTCCCCTAAATCCATGTACATAGTCAGATTGTCCTGGCTGCCACTTGCGAACTGGCCAAAAGTTTTCACCCAGGTCACCAGCGGGCTCTGCAGGAAGAGCTCCAGGGGCTCCGAGACCATCACATCCATGCTGAGGCTTCGCCTGCCGGCTCCACACCCCCCAATCCGTGTCCTGGTGGCCCCGCGCTGTGGCACAAAACGGGTCCGCAGCGAGCAGTGGGTGCAGGGCTGCAGCAGCTCGGGCCCGGGAGACAAAGGCAGGCACACGAGCCCATGTTCTGTGGCTCTGGCGGCCCCAGGCCCCGCCTGGGGCTGGGGGAAGGGCTACTGCAGTTTTTAAATGAGGTATTTTTGAGGAATTGTTAGTGTTTTCTATGTATAGAATCATATATTTAACAAGAACAGATAATCTGACTTTTCCTTTTTCTATTTGGATGCCTTTTATTTCTTTTTCTTGTGTAATTGCTCTAGCTAGAACCTCCAGTAACTATGTTGAATAGCAGTGGTGACAGTGGACACATTTGTCTTGTTCCAGTGCTTAGAAAGAATGCTTCCAACTTTAGCCTATTTGGTATGACATTGGTTGTGGGTTTGTCAGAGATGGCTCTTATTATTTTGAGGTATGTTTCTTCAATGCCTAATTTGTTAAGGGTTTTTAATTATAAAGGAATGTTGCATTTTATTACATATTTTTTCTCTAAAATAATTATATAGTTTCGGTTCTTAATTGTGTTTGTGTTGTGAATCACATTTATTGATTTGCATATGTTTAACTATTCTCTATTGCAGGAATAAAGCCCACTTGATTGTGCTAACTTTATAATGTGTTGCTAGAATTTCTTGGCTAGTACTCTGTTAAAGTCTTTTGCATCTACCTTCATCAGAAATATTGGCTTGCAAGTTTCTTTTGTGTTGTGTCTTTGCCAGATTTTGGCATCAGGATGGTTCTGGTTTCATAGACTGAGATAGGGAGAAATCCCTCCTCCTCAATTTTTTTGAAATAGTTATAGTAGAATCGGTATCAGCTCTTCTTTATACATCTGGTAGGATTCAGCTCTGAATCTATCTGCTTCAGGACATTTCTGGTTAGTAGGCTTTTTACTACTGATTCAGTTTTATAATTTATTTTTGGTCTGTTTAGAGTTTCTATTTCTTCTTCGTTCAATTTTGGGAAGTTGAATGTTTCCAGGAATGTACCTATGTTCTCTACATTTTTTAGTTTATGGCCATAAGGATGTTCACAGCAGTATAGGAGGCTCTTTTATGAATGGTTATAATGTCACTTTTGTCATTTCTGATTGTGCTTATTTGGATCTTCTTTATTTCTTTGTTCATCCAGCTAGTGGTGGATTGATCTTGTTTATCCTTCCAAATAACCAAATTTTTGTTTTGTTGATCCTTTGAATAGTTTTCATGGTCTCAATTTCTAAATGAAATCTAAATGTTTTGCTCTGACTTTAATTACTTCTTTTCTTCTTCTAGGTTAAGGTTTAGTTCTCATTTTTCTAATTCCTTTAGGTGTGACATTAGGTTGTTAACCTGAGATCTTTCTATCTTGCTAATGCAGGTGTTCAGTGGTAAAAACTGTTTTCTTAGTGTTTTGGGTCTATTCCAGAGGTTTGAGTATGTTGTGTCACAATTTTCATTTGTTTCCAATAATTCTTTGATCTTTGACTTAATTTTATTTTTTATCCAAAAGTTATTCAGGAGCATTTTTTAAAGTTTCTACATATTTGTGTACTTTTGAGAGTTCCTTTTGGTATTGATTATTATTTTTATTTCACTGTGATCTAAGATGCTTGGGATGATTTCAGTGTTACTGAAGTTTTTGAGATTTGCTCAATGACTAAGCAAGTGGTCAATCTTAGGGTATGTTTTTGTGCAGATGAGAAAAATGTGCATTCTGTGGTTGTTGGGTGATACATACACATATGTCTACTAGGTCTAATTGGCGAGGTATCAAGTTTAAATCCAAAATTTCTTTGTCAGTTTTTTATCTTGAGCATCTGTCTAATGCTGTCAATGGGTTACCAAGGTTCTCCACTATTAATGTTTATCCAGGTTTTCTGTAGGTCTAGTGGCAATTGTTTTATAAATCCACGTGTTCCAATTTTCAATGTGTATATATTTAGAATAGTTAAAACTTCTTGTTGAGTTGAACCCTTTATTATAATGCAAGGATCTTCTTTATCTTTTAACTGTTTTTGGTTGAAAGTCTGTTTTATCTAATACAAAAATAGTGATCTCCTGCTTTTTTTTTTCCATTTGCATGAATGCTCTTTATTTAAGCCTTTACTTTGAGCCTATAGCTGTCATTCCATGTGAGATGGGTCTCTTGAAGACAGCAGATACTTGGGTCTTTTTTTTTTTAATTTCAGTTTGCCAATCTGTGTGTTTTAAGTGGAGTGTTTAGACTATTTATATTTAAGGTTAATATTTATATGTAAGGTTTTGTTTCTACCATGACGTTGTTAGCTGATGCTTTGTAGTCCTGATTATGTGGTTTCTTTACAGGGTCTTGCAAATATGTAATTACATGTGTTTTTGTGATAGAAGGTATCATTCTTTTGTTTCAATGTTCAGAACTCCCTTAAGCATAAGCTCATCTAGTGGTATCACAATCACTTAGCAATTGCTTGCCTGGAAAATATTTTATTTCTCTTTCACATATGAAGCTTAATTTGGTGGCACAGGAAATTACTAGCTGGAATTTCTTTTCTTTAAGAATGCTGAAAGTAGGCCCCCAATCTCTCCTGGCTTATAAGGTTTCTGCTGGGAAGTCTGACGTTAATCTGATGGAATTTCTTTTACAGGTGCAATTATCCTTTTCTCTAGTTGCCTATCTGTTTTTTTCTTTCATTTTGACCTTGGAAAGTCTGATGATTATGTGCCTTGGGGATGGTCTTCCTGTATACTATCTTGCAGTAGTTCTTTTAATTTCTTGTATTTCCATGCCAACCTCTCTAATAAGATTGGGGTAATTTTTGTGAATTATATTCTCAAATATGTTTTCCAAGTTGCTTACTTTCATTCCTTGTCTCTCAGGAATAATAATGAGTCATAAATTTGGATTATTTACATAATCTCATTTTTCTCAAAGGCTTTGTTCACTTAAAATATTTTTTTATCTTTGTCTGAGTGGGTTGATCCACAATATTTTGAGCTCTGAAATTATTTCCTCTGTTTGGTCTATTATGTTGTAAAGGCTTCAAATTGTTTTTTAAAATTGCCGTAGCATTCTATTTTTTAATTCTAGAAGTCCAGTTTAGCTGTTTCTTAATATAGCCATATTATTTTTTAAATCATAGGTTATTTTTATGGTTCTTCTTATTGGGTTTCAAATTTTTCTTGGATCTAGTTGAGTGTCCTTGCCCTCCAGATTCTGAATTTTATATGTCATTTCAGGCATAACAATCTGGTTAAGATCTATTGCTAGAGACTAAGTGTAATCACTTAGAGGTAACAAAACAATCTGGCTTTCTGTATTGCCAGAGTTCTTGCACTGATTTCTTATCATCTGAAGAAACTGAAGTTTCTTTTTCTTTTTGAATTTGATGTCATTTGAATGGGGCTGTGTTTTTCTTTCCCCTTGAGGGTTTGACTGTTGTGTACGTTGTGTACAATTCATTGCCTTTGTTTCAAGTGTTTTCAGTGGACCAAGCTTCTTCACAGGTCCCTTGATTGCGGATGAGTTGCTGTGGATTTCACAGGCATTATGTGCTGAAGGTGATGTTATTTGGGCTGCAGTCCAGTAGATGGCACTTGAGATTAAAGGCTGGCAGTTAGGCTTTTTCTCAGGTATGGTTTTTTTTGTTTGTTTGTTTGTTTTTGTTTTTGTTTTTTTTAATAGGCAGAGTCTTGCTCTGTCGCCCAGGCTGGAGTGCAATGGCTTGATCTCGGCAAACTGCAACCTCCGCCTCCTGGGTTCAAGTGATTCTTCTACCTCAGCCTCCCAGGTAGCTGGAAATACAGGTACATGTCACCATGCCCGACTAATTTTTTTGTATTTTTTAGTAGAGACAGGGTTTCACCACATTAGCCAGGCTGGTCTCCATCTCCTGGCTGGGATTATAGGCATGAGCCACCGTGCCCCACCCTGCCTGCCCTTTTTATATATCAGTGTGGATAATATAATAATCTGAGGAGAAGGTGTAGGGGGCAAGAGAGGATGCCTTCTCCAAGTTTGTTCCCGGGCCTTGGTGATGTCCCCTTTAAATGCTGTTGTCCTACCATGTTTTCTTTGACCCAAGCTTGGGCATTGGAAGTCTACAACAAAATTAGGTCACCAGAAGCCCCATGACTTTGCAAGGTCCTGCCAGTCCCCTGTGCTTGTCAAAGTCAGAACAAGTTGTGGAATATGTCTGTGGGTGGTCTGAAAGTACAGTGGCTCAAGGGCAGAGGATCCCCTGACAGGGCAGTGACGCTGCAGGTATGCAACCAGTATGGCACCCATGGCCCAGGATTTTCACCCCACAGATGGCTTTTGGGTCTGCCAGCATCTTCTCCCCTGACCTAGTGGGTGATCCTCTGATGTCTGCCCTAGGAACAAGCCCAATCTGTAAGGCTTCTCCCACGCCATCTACACTCATTCTATTCAACATCACCCCTCTGCTCACAGAGGTAAATGCATATCTTATTGCCTCCTTTGGAGAGATTAATCAGAAACTCGAATGCAACCATTTTTCTCTTATCTACCTATGACCTGGTAGCCCCCTTCCCACTTTGAGTCGTCCTGTCTTTGCTTCAAGTGGTCCCGCCTTTTTGGACCAAACCAATGTTCACCTTGCATACGTTAATAGATGTCTCATGTCTCCCTAAAACGTATAAAACCAAGCTGTTCTGACTACTTTGGAGACATGTCATCAGGACTTCCCGAGGCTGTGTCACCGGTGCATGTCCACAACCTTGGCAAAATTAACTTTTTAAATTAACTGAGATCTGTCTAAGATTTTTGTGATTCACAACCTCAGCTGAGAAAAATGGCAACTCAAATTTTTCACCACTCTGCTCTTGCAAGTGAATGACCACAAAAGCCTAGCTCTATTAATATTAGTGCTACAAATTAGTGAGTAGACAAATTTGTTAATCTGTGAATAATAAAAATCAATATATTTTTTATTAACTTACTCAACAAATAAATCAACTATTTAATGAATAAAATGTTTTCATTAGTAAATAATTATTGATCTATATAGTAACCCATGTAAATGTTTTAAATATGCATAATGTATATTAATGATAGT